TATTTGTCCATCTGTTATTCGAGGTCAGTTTCCTATTTTTTTTTTTTGTTTAGATAGGAATTCAAAATGACTCAGTTACAGGCGTTTAAGCGAACGTCTCTAAAAGTTGAGCGATTACTGTTTGTTCTTGTAACCGAAATATATGATGCTAGCTGATATGCTTATTTTACAGCACATCAAGACCAGCGAATTCCGCATTTGTCTTAAGGAGTTGTTCGCTGACCAGCATGATCCTGTGACTGTGTCCTATACAGTACTGGCAGGTGTGTTAGTAAATGATAACAACAAATTTTCTTTGCGAAGAGCTTCTCATGCCCAGCAAGCTTTGGTAGATGTCAAGTAAACTTAGAGGCTCCTTTTTTCATATCTCCTTTAAGTAATCACCAGTAAATGTATTTTCTTAGTTCCTACGTACTACAAGTAAAGGTTTCTATTTCCAAAAACTTCTCGGTCAGCTAAGGCCTAAGCCAAACGTAGAAGTTTGCATGGAAAGAACCAAACTCTAATTTGAGTCGACCTAACTTAAGTTAATTAAGATCGGCTGCTGGATAACACGTCGATCTTTATAGGGCGCGTGGAACCAATCAACTGAATCAGATCAGTAATAAAATTATTTTCTCCCGAACGATTTTATATAGATTAACGAACAATTTTTTTTAAATTTATTAGTTTAGTTCCTCACATGTGAAGACCGACGTTTGTCCTGGAGACGATCTTCGGACGCTCTGTCCGTGGTAACGTGTTGGACGATCCAAACTCATTCAGCGAACTTAACTGAGCCAAACGTCGCTAAGAAGGTTTCATGAACTTAAATCACTAAGTTTGGTTTGTCTCATGAAAAGTTCGACGTTTGGCCTAGTCTTTGTTACGCACAATTTACTTCACACAAAATGTTTTGTATACTGCAGATGTTCGTAAGCCGGGCTGGTCATATTTTAATGGTATTTGCTACTCGACAAGCCATTCGTGCAAAAATTGGACCGAAGCTGAGAAAACCTGCCAAGCATACAGCGGCAACCTCATCACTGTGCGGAATCAAGAAGAAAACGTCTATATTCAGCATCGGCTGAATGGTACCAAGGGCTGGATTGGGCTAAACGATAGGGTAATTGAGGGTGCTTTCAACTGGGCAGATAATCAAACCAGTAACTTTTCATATTGGGCGAAGAACCAACCAAACAACTTCAACAATGAAGATTGCGTTCACACTTTGGGAGTCAGTCATAGTTTTATGTGGAATGATGTAAGCTGTGGTACTTGCAATAACTATACCTGTTCAGAAGGTTTGTGGGTGACTTACCTCTTTTATATACCAACTTTTGTACGCTATATACAGTTAAAATAGTGTGACGGGACGCGTGAGCGTAACCCGTTTGCTATAGTGAGAACTTAGTGTAAAAATTTAAAAATATACATATACAATAATAAAAAAAAGCACTGTAAATAATGCTCCAAAAGAAAATAAAACTATTCAAGATATCTAGGATCTAAAATGATAATTATAAAGTCTTTAAAGTTCTCTTAAGTAAATTACTTATTCGGCTGTAAAAAAATTCATTGACGACTACTTCATACCCACAAAAGTCCAAAAGATGTTGAAGGAAGAGAGTTAATAATTTCGAAAGCGATAATCATTGTTCATGTTGCAACTTTAAACGTTCTAAAGTTGTTTAGTGTTCGCGAGAGTACAGAATTCTGCATGTTATATAAAAAAACTCCCGTACTCTTTACTTTCGACCAACTGCTTCAGCTGGACTTCTAAGTCTGGGCATCACCCCCCAAGTACGTCCATTATGATATTATATTGTTTCACTTCATATCCTTGGTACTTCTGCTTTAACTCCGGTCCCAACGGAGCGGTTCGTATTGCGTGGTTTTCTCCTCCTCCTTTTTCTCCCGGCCTGTAACCCATGAGCAGGTCATCTCAAGCGTTATAACTTCCTTTAACTCGTGTTTGATAATGCGAGCATGAATTCTGTTGGCTTCAACTTCTTGGTGCTCCGCAAATAGGGGGACATCCCAGAAGACTTGCGCATCGTTCGCCTCGTACCCTGGCTTCGGTTTCAGTGGCGGGTACCAAGGTGGCACCGAGTCTCTGACAAGACCTAGGTCTTGCAAAATCTCGAAGAAAAGTATCTTCAGGGCTGCATTATTATGTCGAGTAATGTACTTGTTCTGTGCAAGGGCAGTACAACAAGCCAGGACATGAGCGACACTTTCAGGGGCCTTATTACATAGCCTGCAGGTTACCTCACCCATCACATCCGTGTGCTTTTTCTGGCAGTCATACAACCTCGTAGGTATTATTATTATTATTATTATTATTATTATTATTATCATTATTATTATTATTATTATAAACGTTTTCAATGTTATCAGGAGCCGATATTATTAATTGCTTCCTACACTCTCCTAGAACCGGGGCCAATCCATGGTCCTGAGGTACCAGGGGAGTTTTTTATTTGATGGACACTGAGAAACCTTCTCAGTATGTGCGCCGTTCCTAGCAGGATGATCTTTTGCAGCTCGTTAATGTTACTGGCTCCAGGAATCTTACCTAAATTCTGCCCCATTCCCTCTCTAATAAGTCCCAGTGCACCAACAATAACCGGCACAGTCTCTGTCCTCATTCCCCACATTCTCGTGGATTCAATCTCAAGATCTTTGTATTTTGAAAGCTTTTCAATGACTTTCGTCGCGGTGTTTCGGTCGGATGGTAGCGATACATCTATAAGTTTGCAACATTATTATTGTTATTATTATTAATATTACTATTGTTAGTATTCATTAGTTCCTATTCAAAAGCAATTTCCGATTTGCCCCAAGCCTGTTTCAAAAAGAGATTATAAAACTACTTCCTCATGAAAGGGTTTGCTCTTGACCTCATTTTGAAAGTGTGGGTTTTTAGAAATCGAAAATGGTCTATTTTAATGTTTCCAGGCGTTAAGAGTTATTTTTATTTATTTTATTTGTATTTTCAGAGAAGATCCTAATTTACTTTCACCAATTTACACCACAATAACCAATAGGCCATTTGCACGATGATGTCATTTACTACTACTTCCAGAATCCTTCAGGGTATTGCTTTCTTATGCAAATTACAGCTTTTGTTATGTAAACCTCCCTGGGATTAGCAAATTTAAATATGAAAGAAAAAACGAAATGAATTCTGGTCCTAGTAGTAAAAAATCGTCATCGTGCAAGTGGCCCATTTCTTTGGCTTCTCAGGTGACAAAAAGTTTGAGTTTCAAGTGTAAGGGGATGTTTACATTAGAAAACTCGCACCGGCGCGAGTTTCATACCAAGATGACTTTTTGATTTCGTATCGCGTTTACATGACGACTGGGCTTTTTCGTATCTCGTTAGTTGAAGGTACACGTCATGTTAATAAAATACACGTGTACCCGTTTAAGTCTACCGGCAGAGCGATTTCACACCGAAACGGGTGGTCGTTTCGCGTTTACATGATACCGTTGCGAGATTTCGTACCGGAGTGAAATTCTCGCCCCGGTACAAGAACCGGGGTGAACTCACGCCGGGGTGACTCGCGCCGGCATGACATTTTGTGGTGGTATCATGTAAACAAATATAGAGCTATGAGAGGGAACCTGAGTGAACTCGCTCCGGGGCGAAAGTCGCCCCGGCTTCATATAAACACCCCCCAAATATGTTTGTTGCAGAAATAGTATAAATTAAAGGATTAGTCTACAAAGAAAAATATGCACTACTTTTGTGAAAAAGAGGATACATAAGTGGGTGCTTTTAGCACTGCATCACCCCCTCATACACAACAGTTTTCGTGCTGATTGAATAATATGAGCAAAGATTTTAATTTTTATTCTTTTGTTAAAAAAGTTGATTGACAATCGATCGTTTCATTATTTGTTTTGCAGGTTGATTGACTGAACGATTGTTTTATATTCGTTTTTAAAATTAGATTATGATGAATGTGGAGGAAACAATAACCATTGTCATCAGAACGCCATCTGCACAAACACCATTGGCTCCTATAGCTGCCGGTGCTCCGTAGGATATGCCGGTGATGGCTTACTTTGCAGAGGTATTATGTTCAAAGCCCCAAGTTTTAGTTTTTCGTTTAATTCATGAAGCATAATTATCAAAGGAAACTCGTCCAATGGTAAACAGACATCTCTTGTGAGTTTAAGGCTAGCTACAACCCTGGTCAAAACGTCTTGGGACACTGGAGGAAATTTGGCACAAAGACGCACTTTGCTAAATTAACTCATATTCTACCTCTTAAAAAAGCTTGGGGATGTTGTTATAAGAGGCTATTTCTGCTGTCCCCCTCTCCCCCAAGCAGTGTTGATTCTGTTGAATTAAAACTTGAATACATAACGTCAACACTGCACCGAGGGGGAAGGGTGGAGGGAAGATGCCTCAATTTGACGAGCTATTGCGTTAGTGTCCCAAGAGTTTTGACCCGGGTTGTAGAATAAAGTAGAATAAGCATGCTTTCACCGTAAAATTGCGTGAAAATGTATTTTTCAAAGAACTCTTCAGAGGGGTTTTAAATAGTGAGCAGCGTATAATAGTAGTGAAATAAGGGTTTAAATATAGGCTGGAATAAATTAGGTGGGAAGTCTTCTCAGCAATTTTTTTTTTCTAATTTCAGAGATGATAAAATTTGCACATTATTTCCTAATCTCTATGAATAACAGCAATAAAGTTTATTAACTATCCTTATTTTATAGTTCATAGGTATACAGACCATACTATAACTTTAAATACAGCCCAAAAAGAGAACTAAGTAAAAGTTCATAGAATAAGAACATGTATGTACGGTTGTTGTATTTCCCTGCAATTTCAAAATCTAAGCTCTTGTAGACTGAGTAGCTTATCGCTCTGGGTTCGACGTTCTCGACAAACCCGAGTGGGGTCGCTTGCTGCGCCGGCTAAAGCTTTCGGGGATTCATTATGTGAGGCTTTTTTTTTGTATACTGATGGGGCCTGTAGTGTATTAAAACCGGATGTTTGAGTTAACCGGAAGTTTATGTATTGGACATCCCACAATACCATGCGTGCTCGGTTACGAGTATTAGAAGACCAGAGAAGCGTGTTGAACTTATGTTCGGTTTTTGTTGTAATCTTGTAACATCGTGATTGTAAAGCATTAAAATACGGAATTTAACAGGGCCACCATTCCAGAAGCTTCAAAATCCGACGGTACTTTCTAAAGAGAAATTTTCCTTGCTTCAGATGTCGACGAATGCTCTTCAGGTCACCAGTGTGACAGCAGTGCGACATGTTACAATACAGATGGATCCTACACGTGCACATGTAACAGCGGCTTCACGGGAGATGGACGAACCTGTCGAGGTACGAGCCTTTGAATAAATACTGAATACTGTAAACGACAGTTCTCTAAAGCTTTTCGATAAATTAGGTTGGCTGCTAATAGGTGACATCATACGTATAAGGAAACTTCTCATACACAAAGTGGCTCAAGATCATCGTCCTGATTATTTCACGTCCTTTTTAAAACATTTCCGTTCTTCACATGCTCATAGTACTAGATCCGCCGCCAATAACAACGTTCTACCATCTCTCTGTTAAAGAAACTCAGGAGTTAGTGTAGGAAGTTCGCAACCGCTTGTCGTTTATAGAATAAGTTAGGTCACTCATATATAGAGACATCGTTTCCTTTGCAATGTTCAGAAAAACACTACAGGATAAGTTTACCAATTAAGACAACGTCTCATTAGCACATTTTAAGGTTTTCAGATCCTTTCAGACATTTATGGAAGTTGTATCATTTTATTTAAAAATTTTTCATAACTAACTGACCTGTTGCGTGGAGGTCCATTATAAAAAGTTAACCCGGTAAACGGTAATGTTTCCACCCTCGTGGTTCTTGTTGTTCTTCTCGTTCTTGTTGTTGTTCTTCTTCTACTGATGTCGTTTAAGAAGAAACAAAAAGCAAACTGCGGTGATAAACGTAAGGAAATATAAAAGGAAGAAAAAAGACTTTAACTTGACGTTTCGTATGTTTCAAACATGTACATTTTCAGCAGCGGCCCGTCACCCCTCCTTATATTTAGGCTGAACTGAAGCCCCTAGGGTTAAATAAAATCATTTTCTCAGCCGAGCCCTCTACTTACTTGCAGATCTGAATTTGCCACTGTTTACATGCACAGAATTGAAATGCATCTCTTCTCAGCGGTCTACTACTGTTCTTGTTAGGTCAGTCACTCCTAAGTCAGTCACTCCTATGACTATGACATTCGTTGACAAAAAAGATGGTCCAGCTTGAAATAAATAAAAGTCTTCTTATCTTCCAGATGTTGATGAATGCTCACTCAATACCCATGACTGTCACTCCCATGCAATCTGCACTAACATAGAAGGCTCATTTACTTGCAAGTGCGACGTGAATGTACGTTACATTGGTGACGGGAAAACATGCACTCTTCCTCGTAAGCCGAATTATATGTTTTAATTCATTTTAATTCTCTTCGTTTTACCACTCTGCCAATTGTTAACTTCTACTTTGTGGGAAAAGGTATCCACCAATATTTATGTCGCCAAAGAGCAATCCCTTGCCTGCCTGTCGATTATCTTGATTATGCTCTTGTCCAAGAGTATACTCTTAATGAAATTTCAAATGCACCGCAAGCGAGATTTTCTTGTTTATTTTTTTGGTTGCTTCTGACTTTCTTGGGTACTTTAATTTTGAGTGCTTTTTAGGCTAACCTCGCCCATATTTTTAATAAGTCAATAGTTTTTGGTTTTGGTTTGTTTTTTTTTTTTTCAGGTATAGCAAATACTGGAGTCGTTGTCAGTTTTCGAAATACAGCATCTTTTAACAGCATGAATTTCTGATTTACTTTTTTTTTACCAGGTGGTCTCGATGACTCCGTTATTTTAGCGAATGATGCCAGCAAGATATCGCAGTTAAATACCTGGCTTCTTCCGCACTTGCAAAGTCCAGAAAGAAGTTATTGGAGACTGTGTTATAGAGCCTCTTATCATGGCTGGAGTTCACAGACCTTTCACAGCTATTGCGATAACAAAGGACCCACTGTAACAATTGTTAGGGTCGGGATCTATATTTTTGGAGGCTACAACGACAGGTCATGGCAGTGTAAGTCTTTGAAATAGCTAAGATACGAAGAAGGTATCAACCAGTTAAACTGAATTAAAACCGGAGGTTATTAACCCCAAATGTAAAAGGAAGGAGAGACTGGGTCTTTACAATTTTCGCAAATAGTTCAAAACAAGTCTAGTCTTAACTAGATTGTCATTAATCACTCGCAAGACTGCTAATTGGAGAGGATTTTGTGGTAAGAGTTTAATCAAATACTCGCAACCTGACAATCTACTCCAAAGTCACAACATTGCTGAAGCATGAACTGCATTCTAAAAATTTGCGAACGTTATTATTGAGAAAAATTACTCACAACCAGTAGTTTTGATTGGCACAATCTGGCACATTTTCCATGCATTATCGGTGATGACAACTGTTTTAGCCACTGGTCCCTCTACAACGGCTTGGCCGTGCGTTTTCTTGAACGATCGGGGATTATACGTATCCAGATCTAGAAAAATAAATGTTTGTTCGGCTTAAAACGCTTCGAACATGCCACCAAAAAACTGTGCTGAGTCCTCGAGCTGCTTTATTTATAATTTATTTATCTATTTATTTTTTATCAAGCGCGTTTGAGGTGGAGTATGGGGCTTAGTGGAGAAGGTCGGGCTTAATACTGCTGTACTGCAGCTGGTTCTACCAGGTCTTTTTCTTGAAAACTGAGACGGGTGGACCGCCGTTTCTTATAAATTTTCTAATGGAAAAGCCCTGGGGACAAAGTTGGTGGCAACTTGTGATGCTCCAATTCATGACGATTTGAGCGTGATTTATGTGGTACTTCACACATTATATTCTACTTCCCTGCTCTCAGTATTTACTAACCCCACCACCGTTTCCTAAAAATACACCATTTTACTGCTGTGGGCTTAGTATCCTAGACTTTGAGCGTGAGTGTGAGACTGAGGTTGACCATGATAGATAGATAATTAGATAGTTTAGTTACTAATACTTTGCGGCCCAAAGGCTGAATTGCGTATTTACAAATGATGCAATTGATAAAATGTGTATATAAAACTAATTACAGTAAATAAAAAAGTGTGAAAAATGTGATAAAAAGTCTAAAAATCTACGTACAGGATCTAATAATAAAACTATTCCTAAAACGATCGGTCTTGCATTTATGTACAATGAAGCGGCTGTTGCACCCTAGAGCATAACCATGTTTTGATACAAACCTCCTTTGTTTTCTTATGGAAATTATACTTAAAAAGTATTAGTTAGAATTAAAAAAAAAACACGATTTACATATTAAGAAAGCAGAAATGGTTGTATGAAAGCAAGGTCCACTCCAGCCTCGTTTCCATCCATAATTGTAAAATGGGCTATTGAACTCGACTGAGTTACACTGAATCTCTAATTGTTTGTGTTCTGTTTTTTTGTCTCTTAAGGGTCTGCTGGTTATCAATCTTCGTCAAATACCTTCTTATTCTCACTGAAAAATTACTACGGGTATGGATACTTCAAAGAGGACATAACCAACGGCTACTATATCCACGCCATTTACAGTCGATATAATTATGGTCCAACCTTTGGTGGGGGCCATGATATGCATATTGCGGACAATGCGGGAGGAAATACCAACTCTTACTTTAATTGTCACTCGTACCGCAGTCCCTATTGCGACAATTATCTCTGGGTTGGATCAAGATACGGGAATAATTTCCGCCCAGATGAGTTGGAGGTTTATTATGAAGTGCTTGCTTGAAACCGGGCGGCAACATAAAACAAAGAAAGCATAAAAAACAAACAAACAAACAGCGACAACAACAATCACAACAAAAACATCAACAGACCAACAAAAATAAGTCACAGCAAAAAATAAATAAATACATAAATAATCAGCTCTCCGCCTTTTACTATACCTTTGCTGAGAAAGAAAGCTACCATCTCTTTCATGATATTTTCAAAGTAACTCCACTCATGACAAAAACGGTGATTAGCAACTAACGTGTACAAATTATTAAATTTGGAGCTTTCGCATTATCAATAGCAGAAGTTTTAACAACAAACTGAGGTGTTAAAGCACCAACAGCGGTTAACCATAGCACCACTGGTTTTGTCGTTATGATGGACCAGAAGGAATTTTTTGTTGGTAGCGTAGTTCCATGTTAGGAATTTGCTATAAGGGAGTGTTTTCGGTTGTTAGAACTTATCCCTGTAGGTATTCTTAGGAATCTCGAAGGCCACCTTGTATAGCAGTAGCGAGTAGAGCCCCTTTATTGTTCTGGCGTTCCTATATTTTATGACGCTCCTTAGGGACTAATTTAACTGCACCAGGGCCGTTTTTAGTAATTTAGTAGCTCGACAGAAAATTCAAATCTGACAAATTCATGTGGCTATTGCATTGTTTTCTATTATATGCCGTTTGCTGCCACCCTCGTCCTTCTCATGAATAATAGGGTGTCTAGGAAAGATATTTGCCCCGGCCCCATCTTCAACTTGCTTTAGCAACTGTTTCTGCCGATTCAAACTGTTAAGATATTCGTTAAATTCATGGAAACAATATTGGTCGTCCTCAGGTCCTAACGCGTCTGAAGTGATTTTGTTTCGAACTGATCAAAGGCAGAAACCTTATGCGCGATAGTGGAAATCCCTTCCAAAGCGATTAAACACAGATAGACAGGCACAGGTAAGCTATAAATTAACATTTGTAGATAGCTATAAAGAGTTTGCCTTCCCTGTAAAATATCCTTGTTTTCTCTTACTGAGCACAGATCAGTATTTTTCTCAGTGTGACGCTCTCTATTTGTTTGCAAGCTTAGCCACTTTATCCTTCTATGAGATTGAAGCTATTCAATAATACTATTTTATACTATTATTGTTTTTTGTTTTTACCTTTTTAAAGCAGCCAGTGTTGTAATGGGCAATGACCATTTCTTATTAAATTTGTCCACTTTATTAGTTTTAACACATACCGTAAACTGCGGTTTATAAGCCCATCCGCTTATAAGCCCCCTCGGTTATAGGCCCACCTACATACAAACAAAACTGAAAAAAAATACATCTGATCATAAGTCCATCCGGATATAAGCCCCCCATCTAGTTTTTGTTTTTGATTTTTTTTATTTATTTAACTGACTTCAATTTATTGCTGCCTTTTTAAGGCTTCAATTGTAAAAGTAATAAATTTAAATCAAACGTCGATCAACAGTG